ACAAACATTTTGGAGATTGCTCATTCATAGGGTCACCCTAAGTCGGAGGCGACTTGACAGCACAGAACAGCAGCAGCAGCAAAGTGATGTTTAGCTCATACTGAACCTCCGGTGAGTCAGCAGCACCATTCATGGGTGTGTGTGTGTGGCATGTACAAAACTGACCCTTTCATTCTGGAGTGACATCTAATTCCAAAGGACTCTTGATTTGCCACCCCCACCAGCCCAGAAAATTAGCCACCACATTTTCCAAATGAGGTTCTGGAGGGGAAAATATCACTATCACTTCAGAACAAAGATGCAGTAGGGTGCCTTTTTCCTGCAGGAACCTATCTCCAAACTCAAGATAAATGCCATTCTCTCTCTCTCTCTCTCTCTCTCTCTCTCTCTCTCTCTCTCACACACACACACACACACACACACACACACACACACACACACACACACACACACAGACACACACACACACACACTCGACTCATTTCTGGGTGGCAGGGGTTGGCCTCAAACTTTTCACTAAAGTTGATTAAAGCTTCTGATACCGTGCATTTGATTTGAGAAATGGGATGGAGAAAGGGGAGAGATATTAATCTGATATTTGCAAGAACCAAAAGTGCTGCTGGATTGCTGGCCTATTTAAAAGATTAATGAATAGCTACGACAATATGCCTCTTCTGTAATCCGCTATCTATACTTACAGTGTAGATTACTCCAGTTACTTCTATGAGGTTATATCAAAAATGGGTAGGAATAACACAGGTCACAAGACCAAGGCACTTTTAAGAGCCTTGTGGCACAGTGGTTAAACTGCAGTACTGCAGCCAAAACTCTACTCACAACCTCAATTCCAGATAGCTGGGGCTTGAGGTTCACTCAACCTTCCATCCTTCCAAGGCCAGTAAATTGAAAACGCAGCTTGCTGGGGGGGGGGGAATGTGTGGCCTGCATGATTAAATTGTAGACTGCCCAGAGAGTGCTTTAAGCACTATGGGGCGGTATATAAGCAAGATGCTTTTTTTTTTAACATAGAAGTTTTTAAGGACTTAGGGAAAGTTCCTTTTTAACTACAACTCCCAGAAAGATTTGGGGTAGCTGTCCTCCCAAAAGCAACATCTCCTGAACTACATATGTACTAGGGAGTTAGTTACTGGGGACTATGGGTTCCACTTTCCTAAGATAAGGACTTTAAATCCACAGGCTGTAAGACAGAGCTGCCTCCAGAAGGTTTCCTGACATGTGCTACTTTTTTGTTCTGCCCAAGGAAAGGCAGTTCTTAACCTGAACCCATTTGCAGGGTTACTTTTGAGTAACAGCCAAAGCTCACTGGGGCATAACTTCCTTTACTTGGCGATTGTATCGCTCTAGAAGGATACCCATTGTTCTCTAGCCTTGCTAAGATTACTGAGCCTACCATTCCATGAAGGGAATCGGATTCTTACTGAAGCAACAACTTTTTTAAAAGTCTGCAGTTTGTGTGCGTGGGGGACATTTGTGGATAGGCTGCAGACATCATACTTTAAAAATTAACTTACTTCTTTGCTTTTGAAAAGTCTAATACTGTATTAAACTTTCTGGACAACCTCCGTAAGACGTTAAATAAGAAGTAAGAAGTAAAGGCATATTCAGGCCAACAAATCATGGCTAACTGGAAATATGAATTCAGCTGGTCACCTATGACGAATGAAGAATTCGCTCCAGGTGAGCACGACAGAAAGCTTTAGGAATTTTTCCACACCTAATTAAGAAAAGGATATAAATGCAGTTGCCTCATCTAAATGGAGAAAGTTTTATAAACATATTTACAAAGCAGGTTAGAGCAAAAACATGTTATCTACATAACATTACACATAGTCAAGTGCCACTGATTTTTACTAGGAGTGGACAGACAGATCTTCTCTGTTTTTTACTTGGATCCTTAGATCCACTAACTAGAACCAGGGAAAAGACAAAGAATGGAAGTAGGGGGTACATCTAAGCCCTTGATGAGTTTACAAAAAAGAATTATGTAGAAAAACGGAACTAAATTCACAGTCTTTTAATGCAGAAGTCTGATACTGTCTACCTTCAGCTTTCTCCCATTCAGAATCTCAACTCAAGGTGGGTGAGGAAATCATTTTGCTATTACAATACCAGAAACCAGAAACCTTTACTAAACTTTTGCAAACAATCTGGAGATCCTCGGCTACCTTCTGCCTGCCCCTGCCTCGCAACCCCTTTGTAAAGTATGAAGCTGAGGAACGCTGAGGAAGGCTCCACATTTTCAAATGCATAAACCCTTCTACAGAAGTGTCCACATACAAACCTATACCTAACACAAACCCTTCCTCCAAAACCTGCAGCAATCAAGCCAAGTCAGACCATTTCAGCAGGGCTCTTCTGAATGCACCATCGGCAAAATGTCTCCAGCATTGACCTCAGATTCACAGCGGGCTCCATTGTTAGATAAAATGAAGCGGCTGCCTCAGCCAACGGAAATATAAGAGGCACTGAGCAACAGCCAGGTGCTAAAAGCCAGAGTTGCACCTGCCACACATGCTCCCTGCAGCCACGAAGCTAGACAGCTGCCTTAAGGTACAGCAAAGGTCCTCACCGACACCCAGTGTTTAAGGAAGAGTCATCTACCAGTTTGGTCAGATCCTGTACACGCAACACGGGGGTGCAACCCTATCCTTTCAGGCAGCAGCATTGGCTTGGGCTTTGTGAAATACAGCCCACTTCCTCAAATGCGCCAAGCGCTATCTCTAAGGATATCAGCTGCAGCTTACATCAGGGTGGGTGAACAACATTTGGGATCTACTAGTAGGTCTCTGGAAATCTGCCATAGACCAAAACGGACTGCTGCCTCTCCGTGACTTTGGACTGGCGGAATGAGATTGCGGAAATGATGAAAGGTGGGGATTGGGGGAGGGGGGTCATCAGAAGCAAACATTAACGCCCAAAGGATGGCGTTAGGACTGAGTTTTGGTTATAGAAAGAGATTTCTCAGTGCCTTCACCGTGAGTGTGTATCTTTTGCACCACTGGGATTTGGGTTAAAATGTACACAGTCTTACAGGGCATTTTTATTTATTTATTTATTTATTTGATTTATACCCCGCCTATCTGGTCCGCACGGACCACTCTAGGCGGCTAACAGCCATAAAAATAATATAAAACAATGTCCTTGTGCCCACATGCCTCTGGGAGGCCACTGGGACTTCTAGAAAAATATCCCATTTCCCACTTGTAGACGAGGGGAATCCTTTTAGACCCTTCGCTGCCAAAACATGCTAGTGGGAAGCCCCTGTGCTTTGACCAATACAGGTAGGATCTGGCTTTCCATAAACGGGGCAGAATCTGGTCCTCCTTTGCTGCCTCTGCCAGAACAGACCTTCTGCATACTTGCAGCATCTGTTTTTGTTTTTGAAGTAGAACTGGCAGGCCAACCAACCAGAGACTGGTGCAAAATATTGGGAACCTCAGGAATGTGTTTTGAGCACCAGCTCTGAACTGAGATTGCAGTCTTCTCAAGCACTAACCAACTGACGGTTACCTAGCCTTTCTCCTTTTTAACAAAATAAATTAGTGCAGGTTTATTTAAATCTTATTTATTTAAAACATTGTTTACCCCACCTTTCACCTTAAAAGGAACCAAGGTTGTTGCTGCAGTTGTGTGCCAGAAATTCTTACTCCAGTCTTTCTTTTGCCCATTCCTTTTTGAGGGTACTTCTGCACAATTCATGTAAATCAGCATTAAATCCATCTAGCTATCACTAGTAGTTTCCAGGGGGTTCTCCTGCCAAGGAGCTTTTTCACGTAATGCACCAAAGCCTCGTCAAGGCAGTCCCTGTGGACGTTTTTTCTCGAATATGCTTCACAAATCATCAATTTCCCTTCAGGTGAGTGCCTGCAGGACTTAGTGGGGCCTTACAGAGGTACAAATGTCATTCACAATTCAGTTCCATATGCACATTTTCCAACATTTCTCTGTGTGCTTTACAGCTAATAAAAGATTCTTAGAAATACTAAGATGGACATGACATTATTAGGGAGGGTGGGGCCACGCAATTGCGAAAAAGTTCCCATGCAAGTGACTCGACAACAATAAAACCAAGTATTACATCTACAGTGTCACATGTCTGTGGTCTGTACAAGTTGGTCGACTGCCCTTCCAGGTTCCAGATTCACAATCAGCAAGGTAAACCTACTCCTTCAGCAACCACCTTGTGATTTGAACAGCCATTAAGCAAAGCATCTTCCCACCATCTCCATTTAGAGTACAATATATTTGAACTATGACACAAGATGAAATTTCAGCTGTAAGAAGCCATCTTCAGTGTAATTAAATTGCCATTAACATAAGTTCTGCTGATAAGAAAAGCATCTACATGCAAGCAAAGTCCAACTAAAGGGTATTGCATTCATGTGAATCCTGGAAAACATATTTTAAAGGCACACCAATCCCAAGATCATCATCATAAAGTAGGAGTCTCCTCCTTCTGATGATTATTTCTCCCCCAGTATTTGTTTAACAGAATTTTGCAGTCCATGCAATGATCACTTCTTAAATTCCAATCATCTTGTGTATATCCATACACAAGGAGGGACAAACAGATGCAAGAGAGTTGTAGATAGAAGAATCAGAATCACAGCACAGCTGAGTTGGAAGAGGGCCTTGAAGGCCATTGGGTCCAACCCCTTGCTCAAGGCAGGAGTCTAAATCAAAGCAGGTCTGACAGATGGGTGTTCAGTTTTCTCCTGAAGGTTTGGTTGCATGCTTTATCCCCCCTCCCTCACACACACACTACCATGCGCTAAGATATCCACTGGACTGGCATTTTTGCATGACATTTGGCCTGGTGGGGGTGGGAGTAGTCACAGCCCTTCCCAACACCCAATTGTAAAGAAAGCACAGGGGGGGAAAAAGATATAAAATATTAGATGGGAGAAACAAGGAAGGGTTTTTTACTTAGAACAGAGAAAAGGGTTGTGTTTCATTTGGGGTTTTAACAATCCTCTTACCACTGGAGACGAAATTCGACACCCAGGGCAATCACAGATTGGAGGATGTACCTGTAAGATTCCTTTGGACATAAGAGTCTTCAAACTTTTCCCTGGAAGGAGGAGAGAAAAAAAGGCAAGGGGGAGAGAGAGAAAAAAAACAGGTTTTTTAGTTTGGCCTAGGATGGGGTTTGGACAGAATGAATCAGACAGGAGTAAACCCACCTACCCACCCAAGAGCCTCTTCCCATCCCACCAAGCCTCTCTGGCTTGCTGTGCCCTTCACTGAACTTTCTGCCCTGAAGGAATGATGAAAAGCATCCACAGCCTGAGACCTCATCTCCCCCCCCCAATATCTAACCTTGTTAAAAGGGGTTGGGGGCAACCTGGGAGAAGGAGGGAGAGCCGGCCTGCTCCTTCCCACCCCCTCCACCCAACCCCAAACTCTTCTGGAGTTGCTGGCGCC